GTAGAGAGGACGGGAAGAAAGGGGGTGTTTCCCCCCCATTTCACCCCATTTCTCCCCCTCACCCCCTCAACTCTCTTCTCGGCGGAGAAGCGGCGAGTAAAGTTGCTTCCAGGTTACACAATAATTGGATAACTTCGCCCTCGCTGCTTCTCTCTCTCTCCTTTTCCCCCTCCCCCGCCAACCCATCGACTTCCTCGTTCCTCCTCACCCTGTCTGTCCCTCTTTCGCTTCTTAACTCGAAAAACTCTGTTGCACACCCAGATTAAGCCAAAGGGTTGAATTTAACCGGCTTCGCTGGGATTTTCCTCGGACTCGATCCCACCTGAACAGGAGGGCTTTTAACCCTTTCGGGACAGGGGAACTAGCTGTCAGGGTATACCGTAGCATTAAGGTGATATGAAAGGTCGTTACATGTATATATAGGTCCTAACGAAGGTCTTGAGACTCGTTATACTTAATTTTGTTCGAAAACTGAAATTTCCCGAGTTTGAAGACCTTCATCAGGGCCTCAAAAATCACGCGTTAATATTTCAGATAATTCGCAGCACCGAGTTTGAGGAAAAAGTTTTGTTCGTACACATCCTACGTACTTCGATAATAACATTCCTTTCAACGACAATATAATATGCCATTCTCATAGGGAGATGTATCATTATAGACAGCAGATTCGGACCGATTAGTATTCCATCTGGGAAATTAACGCGATTAACCGCGGCCATGCGTACCGATGGAAGTCTCGGAGGCGCGGATAGTCCCTCGTAGGCGGGAATCGATACCTCGGGGCGATATGTCGGCGCTTATCGTCCGGTTTATCGATGTATCGATACGCCGATGCGGGCGGCGCGTAGTTCCCGGTGTCTCCGCCTTCGGCGCGGCGATCGGCGCGCGCCGTCTCTTCCTCGCTTTCCCTTTCCCCTCCCCCTAACCCACCCTGTCAGCTGTCGAACGAGGGCTCGATCTCACCCCTTTGGCGTGCCGGCCGCCTCTCCCCTCCCGCGCCGACACCCTCGGCCGCCTCCCGCCCTTTGACGATAGGAGCTTGCGTTTCTCGCTGAGTTGGCACAACATGTGCCCGAGTCAAAGTGCTTGGCTCCGCAACTCTCTCCGCCGGTGGTGGCGTATATACATATACATATGTATATATACATACATATATCCGCGCGTCCTCGGTTTCGCTGAGGCCAGCGCGTATTACCGGTTTTACGGCCAAGCCACCACCCCCGTCCGATTACACGCGCGAACCGAAGCGTCCCCTTTCCGCGGCCATCTTGGGGGAGGCCCGTCACCTGGGTCCACCTGAGAACTTTCGGGCCTGTTTTCGTCTTATATCTACATGTTAGGCGTCGCGGGGGTAGCGCAAACGGTGGGGCACGGGCGATTACTTCTGTTTCTTACCCTCTGGGGGCTCCGGTCGATCGAGAGAGAGGGTTTATTTCCGTTCCCAAATCGGTCCTGTCGGTGCAGGCTGACGAGCGCGGCAGGCAAGATGGCGGCGCGAGGAAAGTCACGTGAGTTTACTCGCACCGCCGTCTATCGCAGACATGGACGTAGGATACCTTACCGTTAGGTAGGCTGTCGTTACGCTGTAGAAGTGAAGTCTCGTAAAAAAGATAGAGAGAGAGAAAGCAGTCCTTTTGTATCCCGTATTCCACTTCTACTCTTTCTTCATGGCCAAGTCAGTGTGCGAGATCTCCTTACGTCCTACGTCCATGGTTACACCGTGGGTATCCACCAGAGGACTTTCCTACAAACTTTCCGGCTTATTTCGCGGGATTAAGGGCCACAGGAGTATCGGAAACTCGGAAGCGTGAATGATCGCGGGGTTTCTTCACTTGTGAAGACCTCGACCGATCGAAACAGGCCTTCATTTCTCATGTGAAACGACTCCTCTCGGTTGACGAGTGCGGGAGGCAAGATGGCGGCGCAAGGCCGGTCACGTGACAGGTGCTCCATCGGCCTCCGTCTAGCGATCGCCTCTCTTTTCCCTACGCCGAAGTTTCGCGGTGAGTTCGCTCGCTACCTCCTGGAAACACGGTGAGGAACTAATTTCACGGGTAAACTCTTGGGTAGAGGAAAAGGTCCTCTAGAAGCGGTCGAGGCTACGGAAGGTCAGGCCGAGGGCGACCGAGGCGCGCCAAAATGGCGGCGGTCGGTGTCCCTCCTCCCCCCCGTCGTTCACTCTCGCTTATCTAATAATGCAAATTCGCGCGAGATTACCAATCCCTCCGTGCTTTTCTAGGTCTCTACGGGAGCCTTGGAGGGGTCCCAGGTGCGCTGGGAAATCCGAAAACAACGCGTAAAACCTAGTTACGGAGGGGACAAGAGTTATCGCGACGCCCCGTGAGGATGCAGAGAGGGAGAGGGCACATCTCCCCGGAATTCCAGATCGTTCCGCTATCGGCGTGTCGATGCGCTACCGTCACGCGGTGTACACACTGCGGCAATAATGCGAGTAATTTATTTCCCGCTGCGGTGCCGAGGCACCGGGGTCGGGGTAATCGCGCGTGAATGCGCGAGCGTACATGCGCAGTACATGTGCGGTACATGTGTACACGCGCTTACGGCACCGTTGCCGGCGTAATAGGCGCGCCCGTTCGCTCTTTAAATTTCAATCGGACAAGTTGTGGCAACAAACTTTGCGATTTCCCGCGCTTAACGACTTAGGAATGTCTTTTCCTTCCCCCGGTTTTCCTTTCCTTCGCGGATGGGGGGAAAATTCGAGCCGTGGAATTATTGACGTTTAATGCCATTTGCGGATATTAGAGGATAAAATATAGGGCTGTCATCCTCGCTCGCTTAAGACGCTGTTTTATTTTTTATGTTCTCTTTTCAAGTATCACCTTAAGATGACGTGAATCATTTGAAACTTCAGCACGTGATTATAAAGGTCCTAAGGACGCGATGTTCATAAAATTTCAATTTTTTTTTTTCCATAAAATATGTATTTTTGGTTCTAGTCTGGATTAAATAAAGAAAATTTGTTTAAATGATATTTCATGAGCATCGCGTTCTTCCTTAGGGCCTCCATAATCACGTGTTAAAGTTTCAAATGATTCGGTGTACCCAGTTTGGAGAAATGTCTTATTTTACACGTTTTTATATATATATATATATATATATAGAATGACCCTTTCATATCACCTTAAATCGCTCAATTTGTGATAAATCGCTCTATTTGGGCGCTCTGACGAAAACCTCTCTCTCCGTACGAGTTCTTACGAGTTCGCACGAGTTTGCACGAGTTCCTCCGAGTTTGCACGAGTTCCGAGCCGAAGTAGCCGGTGTCAAACATGGCGCGTCTCAATTTCCGATCTCCCGGTGCACCTAACCTAGAACCGCTTGGCACGACCCGACCGCGGTACGCAGTCGGCGTACGAATCGCTTGATCTCTCGTGCACTCGTCGGCGCATCCGGTCCGGGGGGGCCGCAGCCGGCGTGGGTCGCGCGTTTACGCAGAGTGTCGCGCATACGCGCTTGCGTGGACCGGCGATCGGCCGCGGGCAGCGTGGTGGAGCCACGTGTCGCCGCGCGCATCCCTAGTTCGCCGGTCGGCCGCGGCGCGCTAACCTTTAATCGGCGCGTCGCGACGCCGGGGAAAAGGAATGCCCCGGTGGCCGCTGTCTCCGTCCGCCACGCCCGCGATAACTCGGGCCAATTGACTCGATTGTCGCGTCGGTGCGGGTCGAGCGCTTGAAAGAGAGAAAGAGAGAATGAGAAAGAGAGGAGGAGAGAGACGGACACGGTCGAGTTGAGCACGGTCCTCTCGAGGTGCGCGCGATACGTCTCGATACGTATCGCGCCGCCGCACGTCGCGCCGTTAATTGTCCCGAAAATGGGCTAAAAACGTCGACCCACTGACCAACGGCGGCGCGGCGCGGCGCGCGCCACCCTACGGTCGGTCCCGAAAACATCAGCCCCAGCCAGTGACTCCGCTACGCGTAGACCCGTGTCCCTCTCTCAGGCCTACATCGGCCCGGCACTTTCGGCGAGCTTTGTCCCGGCCAAGCGGCTCCCGGGGGACCGAGGACCCTCCTCGAGGCGCAGGACCTCCTCGGCGACGCGGCGCCGCACCCGAGCCGGCGCGAGCTCTCTGCGCCGGCCCCGAGAAGCCGGCGCGACCCGAAGGTAACCTAAAAACTCGCGAGGCCAACGCCGCGCGCGAGTCGCGGGACGCTCCGCGGCGAGGCCGTCGACACCGAGGCGAGATTCCTCCGGGAATCGACGCCGATCTCGATGATCGAACCGCGAAGGAAGCCCCCTTCGATTCTAGGCTTTTGCGTTCCTCTCCAGTGAATACTTTCGATGCGGCCGACGACTCTGGGCGTCCTGGGTGTAGGTGGTGGTCGGGGATGTTGTTTTGTCACGCGTGGGAACTTTTCTTCCCTCCGATCGGGAAATATCTCTCCGAGGCGACCTACAGCCTGGAGGTAACCTAAAAATGATGTGCTGGGCAGGACTTTCTTGGGATTTGTACCAAATAGTCCTCCGATGTGGGGATGAGACAAGGAGTGAAGTGGAAAGGATTCGATGGATGGGTTGGGGTATCGGAGAGCGGTTAGGTGTATTCTGGGCAGAAGGTGGATGTCGGAGCTTTGGTTTTATATTAATGTAGACTTTCGCTATGATTTTTGTGGGTTTTTCTGTTGCGTGAGGTTCACAGGGTTGGATAATTAGTGAGGGTGAAGTTTGGACAATCATCGGTGCAGGGCGAATGGCTTGACAAAAAGTTCCAACATCGCCGTTGGAAAGTAATGTGTGTCAGGAAGTTCGATGGACTTGGGAGGATGTTGTAAGACTGATTTCGGAAACTTTGTGTATATAAGTCTTGTTTGGATTTTAATAACATTGTGAAATGTCATCGGCAATGTGCGTCGCAGGATACGGATTAAAATGGAGCGAGATGTTTTTACTCTTGTTAGTGGCTTAGAATAAAATGTGCGCTGTGATTTTAAAACTGTGGTCAAATGCGAGTCTAATGCACCGTTGTTCTTGTCTTTCAGGTGACGGTATTCCAAGAGTCGTGATGTATTGGGCATTCGGCGGTCCCTGTTCAAAAGCCGACGGAAAGTCAACGCTGCGGAAACAGTTTGTGTGACGAAGCATCGGAGCGTGCCGACGAGTACCGCAAGAACAGTTGAGAGAGAGAAGTGATTTTTCTCTAGCCTGGAAGTAGGAGTGAGCGGACTTTCTTAGAGAACGAGAGTAATAGTGGGGGTCATTAAAATTGGGGGGGCTGTCTGACCGATGGACAAACGGAAGATGATGCCCAAACGCCCTCGAATGGAGAACCTGAGGGGTCCGATCGCCAATGGACCCATTCAGACACGGCCGCTGGTGGCGCTGTTGGATGGACGGGATTGCTCTATTGAGATGCCCATCCTAAAAGACGTCGCGACTGTAGCTTTCTGCGATGCACAGTCCACCTCTGAAATCCACGAGAAGGTAACCTCCAAAGAAACAAAACTATCGACAGAATGCCACGAAGTAGCATGAGGAGTTCCCACTCTTTGGATCTTCCCAGAAAATTCCAACTCCATATTTCCTTGTCAAGTTAGATGATAATAACAGTAGCGATCCTTGCAAAAAAACGTAACTCTATACAATATGATGGCGTTTAAAATATGAGTCAAATGTGGTACTATGGTACAGATGTAAACACAATCAGCTTGTGTCACCAGTTTTGTAATTTTTATTCATTAATACTTGTAAGCTGCTAAGTAATAACTGTCTTGGTGGTTAACGTTCTGTGATTATCCTGGAAGTATTTATTTAGACCATGCTACGACGACCATTTGTGAAAATTTAAGTATTGGATTTTTTCGTGAAAGTTGCTAGTTTTACCATTGACTAACTTTGCAACGCGATGTAGGATACTTTACATAGAAGTGGGAGTTCCTTATGCTACCTCATGTAGGGCGCAGACTAATTGACACGTTACGATGCTCTCCGACAGGTCCTAAACGAAGCGGTGGGTGCACTCATGTGGCACACCATAATCCTGACTAAAGAAGACCTCGAGAAATTCAAAACGTTACGAATCATCGTGAGAATCGGTTCGGGGGTGGACAACATCGATGTCAAAGCTGCCGGTGAGCTTGGCATCGCGGTGTGCAATGTGCCTGGCTACGGGGTCGAAGAAGTGGCGGACACCACCCTCTGTCTCATACTGAACCTGTACCGACGTACGTACTGGCTGGCAAATATGGTTCGTGAGGGGAAAAAATTCACCGGGCCAGAACAGGTAACCTCAGAATGTCATGTCATTACATCCTAACCTATAACGATCCGCCTTTTTCCCTATAACCTCACAATTCTCTCCCTTCTGCTAGGTTAGGGAGGCTGCTCAAGGGTGTGCAAGGATACGGGGCGACACCTTGGGTATCGTAGGATTAGGCAGAATTGGCTCGGCGGTCGCATTGCGTGCGAAAGCTTTCGGCTTTAATGTCATCTTCTACGATCCGTACCTGCCGGACGGCATCGAGAAGTCCCTTGGCCTCACCAGGGTGTACACGCTACAGGTAAACTCATCGCCAGCCTCGATCCTCTAATACAACCATCGATTTTCCAACGTATATCAATTTATAACATTCGTAGAAACAAAAATTTGTCCATGGAGGTTATGTTGAGCGTGAAACTTATTTCTCTTTCATTTTATAATTTCACTTTTACATCGGTAAATGTCTGACACCGATGAAAAGGTTTACGCAGATTATCTCGATTCCGACACAAAGTGAATATAAATAGTAACTTTGAAATTAGCCGAGCTGATTAGCGTGACCTGAGTTTCAATTAGAAAATAGCACCTTATACAATATTTCATTAATATCTAGAGGACACTTACAATCTGCGCGAGAACAAAAACGTGTATACAGTACGTAACCAAAGTCAATCTTCTACACGCTTCTGGTTCTGTTATAAATTATAATTGCGAGACAAGGTGCAATCGATCGAGCACTCGTTTACACCAGACCTAGAATATGATGGAAATTCTCCTTTTTCAGGATCTGCTGTTCCAGTCGGATTGCGTCTCTCTGCATTGTACCTTGAATGAACACAATCATCACCTAATTAACGAGTTCACCATCAAACAGGTATACCACTGTCAGACTGGCTAAAAAGTCTTGCGACCCAGACAGCACTATTTACTTTAATTCATTGAATTACAACTTTAATCCCCATAATATATCAGTATTACACAATGATAGGATCCCAGGAACCGATTCTCAAGTTCATACGATCAACTCTCGCGTGCGAGATCGCCAGTTTCGTGTACATTTAAATGTTGACAAATGGCTTCGCAGCAATGCAAAATTTTGTATGTGAATCTATTCGTTATGCGCAAAAAGGGAACTCGAGAATCGACTTCCTGGAGGGTCGTAGAATGCTTCGCACCGTGAATCGCAATGTATTAATACCGATGGGCCATTTTCAGATGAGACCAGGAGCGTTCCTGGTGAACACAGCCCGAGGCGGCCTGGTGGACGACGACGCCCTCGCCGCGGCGCTTAAGCAGGGGAGGATCCGCGCGGCCGCCCTCGACGTCCACGAAAACGAGCCGTACAATGTCTTTCAGGGTCAGTCCGCGCAATGTGAGTCTTATCTGGCCTTACCTAACCCTGCCCCCGACCCGATTAACACGTCCGACCTCCCCGCCACGTCCTCGGCCTCCCCGTGAGGAGACCGCCCTCATTACCTCCTGCTTATTATCGCCTAGGCATGGCTTCTCGATCGCTGGTGCACCGGCAGATTGTCCATTATTAAAACGAGGAACTCTCTATCTCGACTATGGCGATGTCGATGGACGTGCGTTCTCGGATAAGACCACCGAGTCGCGGAACGCCGATTGCCATACGCTCCGGTGATAAGGGACTCCGTGTCCCCTTATCAGACCACAATTAGCCGATGTATTCTTACACCGGAGTTCGATTACCATCTACTACTATTATCTAGATGTAAATGGGAGATTGGAAATCTCGGATAACCCGGCGGATCGTCCTAGAGATCGCCATCGCTTAGAATTAGTACGACCTGCGCCGTGGCGTTTCATTAACGAGACGAGTGACCTTTTAATCGCCTTTTCAAACCCCTTAAGCAGGTCCGCTGAAGGATGCCCCGAATCTTCTCTGCACGCCCCACGCCGCGTTCTACAGCGACGCTAGTTGCACGGAACTCCGCGAGATGGCGGCCAGCGAGATACGGCGGGCCATCATGGGCCGCATTCCCGATTGCCTGCGGAATTGCGTCAACAAGGAGTACTTCCTCTCGTCCACTGGGTAAGGATGCCCTCCTCTCTCCCCCACCTTGCCCATCTCCTAGGCCGAAGCAAACCTCTCGACCCCTCTTCGAGGGTCGCGCCTACGTATACCAACCTCTACCGGTAATGCTATCTTGACAAGTGCAGTGGGGCTTCCCTGTTCTCGGGGCCTGTTAATTCCCCCTTCTCGAGATTCACATTAAGGCGGTGCGAAAGTGCCGCCAAAGGTGGCTCGTTTGTGAAACTTTCCTTCGAACTGCGGGTAACGAATCGTATCAAACTTTACGGTGTGAATATTAAGGCTGTGAAGAAGGTCCTTATACCCATGAAATTTCAATTAAGAGAAAAAATTGTTTATAGATGTTTTTGAAATTTTATATATATATGTATAAAATGAAATTCCATGAGTTTCAGGACCTATGGTAGGACTTTCATATTCACGTTATTAAGTTTGATATTTTCATTCAGTTCGTTAACAAAGTTTCATGAATGACTGACTCCTCGGGTGGGTGCTTTCTCGTCACCTTAAGGGGCTTAGTCGACTGCGAAAGCCAGCTTAAAGGTGAGCGAGAATCTAGAGGGAGTATGCTCGATTATCAGGCTGATTCAGTCTGTTTTGTGGAGAGTTCAACCCTTAAGGCGGTACGAAAGTCACGTTGAAGGGTGTCGTTTATATGCAACCTTTCTTCGAGTTCGGTTTGCCGAATCGTTTGAAATTTTAACGCGCGAATGCGGAGGCCCTGGGGAAGGTCTTGACCCTCACGAGGTACCGACAATATTTTTAGTTTTTTATTTAAAAAGGAAATGGAATTTCATAGTTGTCGAGACCTTCCATTTAATTTCTTTTTTTTTTTAATTTCTATCAGGCGAATTCTTTTGCTTTTATGGATGTCAAGACCTTCCTTAGGACTTCCATATTTATGCAGTATGAATGTTCAAAATTTCTTTCAAAATGACGGACTCGTTGGAAGCTTTTAATATAGTATATATATATTTTTTTTTTTCACGGTATCACAATTCCAGGAGACCGGCAAGTTGGAAACGAAGGGTTAAGGTGGTTTTGGAAACTAGAAGAGATTATTTGAGAACTGATTGCACGGCTATTTGGTGAAAAGGATATTTCGGAATTTTGGTAGAGAAAGATATATGAAAGGCCAATATAGAAGTAATTTTCTCATCGCTGTTTTCACTCCAGTCGTTGTCTTTTCAAGATTTTTGTTGATACAAAAGAGAGAGAGAGAGAAAAAAGAGAAAGAAAGAAACAACCATCCGTGCCATCGGTTCTCGAGTAACCCTTTCTAGTGTCTGAAACCACCTTAACTTTTTGTTTCAGACTTGCCGTACTCCTGGAATCGTGTACACCGTGAATAATAAAAATGAGATATTCCCAGCCTCCACGAGTCCGCCATTTTGAAAATGTTCTGAACCGTCTTTTTCTTTCTTTACCCGAAATTCTCCACGAAACGCCGAATAAAACAGCAGAGCCCCGTAAGGAAGTATTTCCCGTATCTTTTCGTTCTCCTTCGAGGTCACTTTCATGGAAACGGCATTTCGCAGCCTACTAACTTCCTTAAGGCGCTATGAAAGCGTCAATCCATATGAATGTACCGAAACGCCGAAATATTTATATAACTTTTCTCCAAACTGGGTGCATCGAACAATATGAAACTTAAACGCATAATTATGGCGGCCCTAATGAAGGTCTTGAAACTCGCGAGATTTTACTTTTCATGCATTCATCCCGAACAAGAGCCGAAAAAAGTCCTCTTTTACGGCAAATGAAATTTCCCGAGTTTCGAGACCTTCATTAGGACCTCCGTAATCACATACTGCAGTTTACAAATTATTCGGTGCACCCAGTTTGGAGATAAGTTTCATATTTCTACTTTTTGGTATATATACATATTTGTGACACTTTCATAACACCTTAATTTCTTCTCTCTTATTATTTCCTTAATTTTCCTGAGCTCGGAACATCTTCCTATTCCACTCTTTAGTTGATTCTCACATTTAACAATTTCCTCGCTCCTCATTAACTCGACCCTCTCTCTCTCTCTCTGCCTCTCTGTCTCTCTCGCTGCTAAGAATGTCGAAGAGAGAAAGAAAAAAGGAAAAGGAAACTCTCTTCTTTTATATGTATATATATATATTTTTTTATTGTACTCTCCATTCTAGGATTAAGGTGGTGCGAAAGTGGCATCAAGGAGGTTTCATTTACGATACTTTTCTCTGAATTGCGTGTACGGAATCGTTTGGAAATTTACAACGTGAACGTGGAGGCTGTAAGGAAGGTCTCTATACCCGTGAAATTTCATTCCTTTTTTTTTTTAATTTTAAAAACGTGTAGACGAATTAAAAAAAAAAAGTTGATATTCGCGTTGGACAGTTTGTGAAACGATTCGGTGCACCCAGTTCGGAGTAAAGTCTCACGAACGATTGACCTCCTCGGATGGCACTTTAATGTCCCCTTAAAGAGAAGGCTTTGATTTTTAATTGTTTACTTTCCTTTCTTCTAGGCGTAGGTAAATGTTACGCAGGCGGTTCATGTGAATGAGTCAATTGGCAGTTAATTGTTTATACGTCGTGCAGAGATGATGTACCTGGTCGGATCTGCGGATTTTATAGTGCCTTGTTCCTCTTTTTTCTCCTTTTTTTTATTGATTCATGTAGGCCCTCTTATATCGCGTAAATTGTACATATATATAGATAGATATGTATCGCGCTAGGTGCAGGCACCGATTAAACTAGATGTATGTATAAAGGAGTAGGGGATTCCTCGTTAAAAAAAAAAAAGAAAAAAGAAACAGTCGCAATGGCACCGAACAATCATGTAGACGTTATTAAAGAGTCTCTTCTAACTTTTCTTTTTCTCTTTTTTTTTTGGTCTCTGTCTTAAGGGGATGTGAAAGTCTCGTTTATGAGACTTATCTCTAAATTGGGGGTATCGAATCGTATCAGACTTTACAATGTTAATACGGAGGCTGTAAGGAAGGTTCCGACGCCCATTAGATTTTCCAGATTTTGTATAAAAAATTAAATTTTGCGAGGGTCGTCACCGTCCTTGTACATATTCGCGTTGCAATGTTTGAAGCGATTCGGTACAGCCAGTTCGGAGGAAAGTTTCATAAACGAGACCTCTTCAACGTCACTTCGACATGCCCTTAATAAGTGCTGCAAGTAGACGTAACTTTCCAATTGCCTAAGTCACGTGTCGAATACATAGGTTAACGTCAGCTGTTCTCCTCCCCATTTCTTTTTTTTTTTTTTTTCGTTCCGTTTCTCTGCCCAGCTTTGCGATTATTTCCCGATAGTTCCCCCGCCCGCCGCTGGCAGCGCTGCCTATTGAGAACGAACGGTCTGAAAATGGAAACCGTTCCATTTTTGTCGCCTTTCTTGAAATCTGAGGGAATTTTTTTTCTCGAGTAAATCACGACCATTCAGCTATATTTTCCCTTCGTTAAAAGAAAAAGAGGAGATGCCTCGTTTTTCCGCGCCTTTCTCGTCAATTAGAGATTTATTTCTCACGTCGCCAGTCCTGGCCTAGATACGCAGCGCCGGTGGCGGCCACGCGGCGAACTATATCTACTTTCCCTCCCGCCTAGGGAAGCCCCCCTGTCGCCCGCCTCTCTGTTCCACTCTTCCACGGGGAAAGAAAAGACGTGTCGTAACTTTTTGCAGAAACCGATTTCCAAGCAGATGTTAAAAGAGAGAACATTGTACGGGGGAAAGATAGAGAAAAAAAAAAAAAGCAAACGGAAAAACAAGCGCGCTAGAGAGAAACCGAGAGAGAGAGAAACAGAGACGGAACGAGAGAGAGAGGAATATAAAATTCTAGAACCTAAAGGGAGAATAAAATAAAATACGAGGAGAGAAAAAAATAATTGAAAAGAAAAACGACTTCCGAAGTGTCTCCGGGGGTGTAGAGAAAGAGAGGGGCGGGGTGTGACGTATAGAGCGAGACGCGCTCTACGTGGCGAAACGCATACGAGCGAGATTATATAAAAAAAAGATATATATATTAAAAAATGTAAATAAGGCCGCCCCGAAAAGCCTTTGAATAACCTAGAGAGATTCCGAGGGCAGAGAGCGAGAGAGCGAGAGATGTGTATATATGTGGATCACGAGAGGGAGAGAAGGACGGAAGTATATCTACGGAAAGAGAGTCCGGTAGAGGGGGTCGGGGGGTCTCTCTCGCTTCAGGGTAAGGAAGATGGCCAATGTCTTTTCGCTTTCTCCAGCAGCTACTCGGAGGGGATCAACGGCGGCAACTACTACGCAGGGGCGCTACCCGTCCAGCAGGCCCACTCGACGACCCCCCACGACTCGGCGCCCCCACCCCCCGGGGGCCACTCGGTGGGGGGCGGCGCGGGCGCCGGGGCCGGGGGTGGGCCCAACTCGTCGGCGGGCGGCGGCGGCGCCGGCGGCCCCCAGGGGCCCGCGGGCCCCGCGGTCGGCGTCGGCGGGGCCGGGGGCCCCGCCTCGACCACTCCCGCCGCCGCCCTCACCGGCGGACTGCCCCACAGCATAGTCAGCGAGCCCGACCCCCGGCCCAGCCCCCCCGCTCCCAGTCCCCGTTGACCTTGAACCCCCCCCGAACCACCCGCCGCCACCGCACCGACCGCCCTCCGACCCGCTGACCTGCCCTGACCAACGACGCACCACCTGTGACGCGCGACCACCTTCGGCGGCCTCACCGACCGGGATGCGCGCGGCTGACTGCGCGACGGGGATCCTCACCGGAAGGGTTGCGGGGCCTCGCCTAAAGGGTTGCGCGCGCCCGACTGCGCATGGGGTCCTTACCGAATGGGCTGCGCATGACCGACTGCACATGGGGTCCTCACCGGATGGGCTGCGCATGACCGACTGCGGGAGGGGACTGCGCGCGGCCGACTGCGCGACGGGGACCTCGTCGGAAGGGCTGCGCGCGACCGACTGCGCGAGCGGGCTGCGCATGACCGACTGCGCGCGCTCGAGTTCAGTCGCGGCTGATCCAGTAGGCGGCGACCACCGGCCGGGAACGGGTCGGCGCGGGGGTCGCTCCGGGACCGTCTCGGCCGACCCTGGAGACGGGAGGATCTCCGGGCCCCCTGGACTGGCTCCTAAGGCCCACGAGAGGGTATTTTTCGATTGTTGATCGCCCGGGCGTCTCCAGGGCGGCCGGGACTCCTGTCCCTGCTCCGGGGCCTCGTCTTCTCGGCGGATCCCTGCCGAGATTTTGGGCCGATGTGAAAGTACCCTCCGAGGGGCTAATCACTCGGGGAACTTTTCTCCTAACTGGGGGTACCGATTCCTTTCAAACCTCACCAACGCAGGGGTGATCCTGACACCCGTGAAATTTCATCTTTCCTTTTTGTGCAAAAATTATTGAAAATATCTGTAAAGTAATTTCTTAAGAATTGACATTTTATCGGGGTCGGGACCTTCCTTGGTGCCTGAGTGGTCCTGGTGGAAGGCTGGGGACGATTCGGTACCCCCTGTGAGGAGAATGGTTACACGGGCGAAACCTCTTTGACGCCACTTTTGGATCGCCTTAAGGGACTCGCGCGGTTTAAGGTTGTAGTTTGCCGCTCGTTGGGGAGCCCGCGTTCTTCGCGGGTTCACTCTCTCTCTCTCTTTTTCTTTCTTACCCGGTTAAGGGGACACTTGAACCTCGCTTTTAGGGTTAAAAGACGTTTTGTCGGCGATTTTTGGACGACTTAAAACTTGTTTCGATATTGAAAGAGAGGGATGAGGTATGAGTGGTAGTATAGTGGATTGTTATCTGTGGCGCTGGTGCGCCTTTAATTTCGCGCTAAACTCTTCGTTCAGAGCAAGTGGGGATTAGATATAAAGTTAAGATAGAGATCCGTGAACAGGTCTCTTGGGCTCGGCCATTGAACCAGTACAAATTAGACGCGTGTCTCTATCTCTTGACGATGACTCCGCGAAGCTGAGAGCATTAGTCGCGTGAAATTTGGAGAATTTTCGAATATGATCGCGTGAAATTTTAAGGATTCTCGATTATGATCGCGTGAAATTTTAAGGATTTTCGATTATGATCGCGCGAAATTTCAAGAATTTTCAAATATAATCGCGTGAAATTTTAAGGATTATCGAATATGATCGCGTGAAATTTTCAGAATTTTCGAATATAATCGCGTGACATTTTAAGGATTTTCGAATATGATCGCGTGAAATGTTAAGGATTTTCGAATATAATCGTGTGAAATTTTCAGGATTTTTGAATATGTCGCGTGAAATTTTCGAACATAATCGCGTGAAATTTTAAGGATTTTCGACATACGATCGCGCAACTTTGTGACAGTTTGAGAATTTAATAAAAATCCAGCCAGGTGAAACTGAAATCCCTAAATTGCAACTACGTGAGATTCCGAAATTTAGAAAATAGTAGACAACGTTATGAAGCTTGGAAAATTCCACAGTATACAACATCGCGAAGCCTCGAAATTATCACGCTACACAACGTTGTGAACCCTCGAAGATCCATACTACACAACCTTGTGAGACCTAGAAAATTCCACAATACACAACACCCGTGAAACTTCGAAAATGCGAGAACACTCCCTTCGTCACCTCGGGACGTTCCTATTTCCCGCCACCCTTAAGGTGCGAGTTCTGTGAGATAAAGAGAGAGAGAGAAGGTCGATCGACGTCGGGACGCGCGCGACAAGGAGGGGACGAGGCCCGAGTTTCTTTTCCAATTTCTGCGCCCCGGAGGGACGAGTTACGAGAGCGAGCGGGAGAGAATGATGCGTGCCTGCATGTGCGTGAGAGAGATAGAGAGAGAGAGAGAGAAGAGGCGAGAGGGAAAGTCGAGTGAGAGGAAAACAGCGACAGAGGGAGAGAGATGGAGGGAGAGCGGAAACGGAGAGACGAGTTTTATTGATTGATCATTCTAGTATGGATTAATTATTGTATTTTAGGTGTAGCTTTGCGGATGCTGCGGATTCGTTCGGATGACGAGACACATCTCCTTCGGTCGAGAAAGAGAGAGAGGGACGGATTCGTTCAGTCACTGAGGAACAAAGGAACGCGACGAATTGCGTGCGAGTGAGAACGCGTGCGAGATAGAATTTCGAGGTTAAATAGAGAGAAGCACTATGGAGAGCGATATTAATAGTTAAATAAAGGAAGGGAAAGTCTTTCGGTAGAGAGAGAGGGAGAGAGAGAGGGAGAGAAAGAGATTAGTATGGAAGGCTCGGTTTTTTTTTTCTTTTTTTCCCCCCCTTTTTGTTTAGCAAGACGTACACATATCCGATATTCAGTTTTTCCTTCTTTTTTCTTCTTTTCGGTTTTTCCCCGCCCCTTGTCAATTTTCTTCCTCTCGAGCCGCTCACTGACGTTGGTCTCTCCTCTCTGGGAAGGTGTATTATATATATAAACAAATTGTAAGCGCGAGACGGAGGTCCTTTTGCCTCTTGGATTTTTCACCCCTCCCTTCCCACCCCACCCGTCTCTCTCTTCTTTTTTTTTTTCTATTTTAATATTTCGATCGGTCGCTCTCAATTTTACCGCCGGCAGATTTAAACCGAGCGACATTTTCAGAGGGAACGAAGGAGAGCCGAGCAAGCGAAATGGAAATCATTCCGATGGTGCGCGGCATTAATCTTTCTTTTCGGAGTTTCGGCCGAGGGGCCACGACTCGCGTGGACGTGCGTGCGAGCGAGACGGAGGTACCTCTAAGACCGCGCGTGCGAGAGAGACGAAGATACACCTAGGTTCCATTTGACATGGTGTGTGGATGCTTATCGCGAACTAGGGAATCGTTAAAAAGGAAGAAAAGAAATTGTACGAGAATGAGAATTCCCACCGGAAATCGAGTTTTTGGGCTACGGTGTTAATGTAAAACTTGTCGAAGTGGCCGTGTAAATGTCAATAAAACGTGTGAATGGAGACCCAGGTGTATGTCTAACTCACAGAGACAACTCTGAGGAAATAGTGGAGCGCTCTCGCTTATCGACACCTTATCGGCATATCTGGAGAATTCTTACGTGATTGAATTCGAAATTAGGCGACAATAGTTACTTCTGTAATTGGCTGCGAGGATTGGTACGAGGAGTGATTATATTAAGTGACTTCTTCGTCGGTAAACGGCACGCGGTGTTTCTATTGACTTCTTTTTTTTTTTTTTTGCAATAAATAAGGACCTCGATTTAAGCCGGCTCTATCGCGATTGTGCGCGCCCTGGCGGATATTGGTTAAAGCTCTCCTTGATTTTCTTCTCTTTTATCGAGGGCTCAAGGTTAAGCTCGTTGGATCAGCCGCGACGCGCATGCGCGCGCGAGAGAGAGACGGAACGACACGATGCATCACACGTTCAAACATGGCGAAGGAAACGGAGGAGCGCGGGCAGTATTTTAGGATTTCCTTTCTTTTTTTTTTTTTTAAACTAGGAAAACGCGAATTGTGTCTCTCACCCTGGCAGAATTTCAGCTTACGTTCCCTCGGTTTGCGATTGCAATTGCAGTTATGTCTCTAACACTCGGTGGCCTTGAATGCAGCTCACTTCTCGCAATTGAACACTTACGGGCAGTGGCTCTCATCTCGCTCAGATAGCAATTGCAATTGCAGGGAAAGTGAGAAACAAACCGCGTACTCCTCTTCCTTTCGCGTATTCTTTTCCTTCTTCGTCCGTTCCCCTTCTTCATTTTTTTTTGTCCTTTTCGATATAATTAGTTATAAATACTGGATTACACACATAGAGAGAGAAAGAGAGAGCGAGTGAGTCGACGCGTGCCAGAGCGAGAGAGAAAGAGAGATACCGCGAACAAGCTAGCGTAAGTAAGAGCGAGACGGACACACGTGTAAATGGGATATGACGATAAGGGAGTGCGCATGCGCGAGCCAGATAGAGAGAGAGAGAGGGGGGGGGGAAATCGTGCGACAGAGATGGAAAACACGAGAGACTCTGAATTGTTCTTATATATAGTTTTAATTGCGAAGCGCGAGAGAGAGAGAAAGAGAGAGGATGAGAAACAGGGATAATGGGATAATTAATCGCAATTAATTTGCGTCGCCGTTTCTAGAGAGAAAGTGTGAGTGAGAGAGAGAAAGGTAGCTCCTTATCGCCCGTCGATCGTCTTTCCGGAGAGATGAAGAGAGAATGACGGAGAGGGAAAACCCGAGGAAAGCGAGAAAGCGGAAATGAAAATCCGAGATTAACCTTCGTGAAAGGCCTCCTTCCTTAAACCACGATTCTTCCCTCCAGGAATCAGCCTGTCGATTCCTGGAAAGATATTTAAACGGCGTGGAGAGAGCGAAAGAGAGAAAGAGAGAGAGAGAGATAAATAGTAATTAAAAAGGAAAAAAGTAATATTGAAAACAAAAGCCGCAGACCCATAGCGGAAGACTCCCGCGTTCATCGATCCATTTTTAATCGATTGTTTTCTTTNTATATATATTCTCCTTTTTTTCCGACCAGAGTGAATGCGTTTCTGTGGGTGTGTGTGTACGCGAGAGAGAGAGGGCAAATAAGTGATGCGGCGCGGGGAATATCGTTCGTTTTACCGATGACTACAAAAAATACCGAGAAAGTGAAACAGTTGATGAAAAAAAAGGGACAGACCGATCGAAAGAGAGAGAGATAGGGAGGGGAGGGATAGAGAGGGGAGATGGAGCGAGTGCGTGAGCTAGAGAGAGAGATAACCACGAGAGGTGAGAATATCGCGAGAACGTGGTGAGAGAAAAAAAAAACAGCTACATTAATATTAATTATAATTAATAATAAAAATTATAATAAATACAATATTTGTACAATAATCAACGGTGCTGTGGTGAATGCTGCAGGCCTATTAGCGACGAGGGTGGACACACCCCGTCCTTTTCCCAGGATTAATTCATTCATTAATCCATGTCCTTTTCCGTTAACCTCCGGTTAGTCTAATCGCTAGTTATGTCCACTTTTAATCCGAGTTTAATGTAATCCATTTTTTAATATCTTCCACCTTTTTCGTCCCATTGTTTAAGGGGGCTGGGGGATGTTAATCGACTTCCGAGACTTTCTTATCATTCTTGGGATTCCTTCGGGTTTTTTAATCAGTATTCTGGGGGGTTTTAGGTTATGGGGGAATTTCTAGATTTTTGGGGGACTTGGAATGGGACTTTTTAGGGTGTACGCCGGTTTGGGGCTTGTAGGAATTCAGGACCTGGACACAACCCAGCAACGTTATCTCCAACGTCTTATCAAAGTATATACATCCATCTCGACGATGGACTCCTTGGAAGTCGAGCAGCCCTGAAGAGGGCGCTCGTCTTCGTGGCGAGAACCTCCTGGAGCCCGATCTCGAGTTAATACGGATTTTTTTTTCGCATACGAGAGGATTCGCATGAAAAGGTTTTGCGTTGCGAAGTCGCGTCATTGGTCAACTGTTGAATGTCGTATACAAGCTATGTACTATCAATTTCTTGGGCCACCATTCTCTCGACTTTGTTAGATCAACTTTTGTATGCTAAAGTTGACAATTTGGTATACGACTTTCAAACGTTGACCAATGACGCGACTCGCAACAATGTGAGATTTTTCATGTGCATCATGTACATCAACTTTTGTATGCCAAAGTTGAGAATTTGGTATACGACTTTCAAATGTTGACCAACAACGCGAGATTTTTCACGTGCATCATGTACATCAACTTTTGTATGTCAAAGTTGAGAATTTGGTATACGACTTTCAAACGTTAACCAACAACGCGAGATTTTTCATGTGCATCATGTACATCAACTTTTGTATGCCAAAGTTAACAATTTGGTATACGACTTTCAAACGTTGACCAACAACGCGAGATTTTTCACGTGCATCATGTACATCAACTTTCGCATGCAAGAGTTAACAATTTGGTATACGACTTTCAAATGTTGACCAACAACGCGACTCGCAACAACGTGAGATTTTTCATGTGCATCATGTACATCAACTTTCGCATCCAAGAGTTGACAATTTAGTATACGACTTTCAAACGTTGACCAACTATGCGACTTCGCAGCGATGCGAGATTTTTCCTGTACATCTATTCGTAGGCGAAAGAAAGGAAAATCGCATAAACTCGAGAATCAGGTCCCTCGTGCTTTCGCAATTCTTGTTCACCGTGTGAACTCAAGAATCGGGACCCTGGACCCTCTCCAGGGGTCCGTCCTACTGCTCCCGTTGGGAGCTCGTCCCACGTCGGATCACGGGGACCCTGCGGCATCCTGGAAACGTTTCGCCATCCTTGGGGTCGCCGTCGAGGCTGTGTCACGTCAGGGAACCCCCGTGGACCCTCATGTGCCTGTTGAGGTTCCCGCTCTGACTGAACCTGAGCAAGCAGAGCTTGCACTGGTACGGCTTTTCCCCCGAGTGGATGCGCAGGTGCTTCGTCAGGGTCGAGCTGTCGGAGAAGGCCTTCTTGCAGAACCGGCAACTGGTGTCGAGGAGGGTCGAAAAATACGGAGATTAGTGGTTTGCCAACTTTAACTACGTTATCTTCATTTAACCTAACACGTTGACCGCCACGTCACCCATATTCGGGTAACATACCAGTCAAATAAAATGCGCGTGGCAGTCAACGTGTTAATTAGCTCGGGTAGATAAAGCGCTAATGGCGAGAATATAAAATGGAGTTCCCCACGTGGCGGAGAACGTGTCAATAAGGAATCTCTCTTTAGGTTTAATCAAGGAATACCTATAGGGCCGCTCTCCGGAGTGCGTCCTCATGTGAGTCGTCACCGAACTGCTCTGGGAGAATCGCCGGTCGCAGACTGGACAACGGAACGGTTTCTCACCCGAGTGCGTCCGCGCATGCGCCGTCAGGTTGGCTGCCTGGCTGAACGCCTTCGAGCACGCGTGACACCTGTACAATTTGAGAATTTCTAGATAAAAGATGAAATCAAGCCTAGACCTTTCCTTAATTTACCTGCCTAATGAAAATGATCCCCCGATAAAATGAAACAGGAAAGTCCTCCTCGAATTCCTTAAATCGGACCCGAAGGGCTCCTCGAGATAAACCCTAAGGTGTAGCAAAAAATTCAGAAGTCTCCACAGAAGCCCAGAACGATACGGACGTTCGATGCTCGATAAATAGTACGTTAGCCAACAGATGGCGGCGCTGTATAATCATCACTCCGTCTCTCTTAATCGTATGGCGATATATAGCAAATTGCATTCTTTCTCTATCTTACCCACAATACTCGGCTTTCTATATGCGTCTCTCTTCCTCCCGTACGTGAGATATCGTTAGCTACACATGCGATCTCTCTTTTAGTCCCACTTCTGGTTTGTTAGCGAACTTTCAGGGCACCAAGCGCTAACATAGGATCTGGGCTTCTATGGGACTTCTGAATTGTCTGAGTGTAACCTTAATGACTGCCTAATAAAACTGATATCAGGATATAACGAAACGCGTAGGGCTTTGAAAAGAAATTCCTCCACTTCCTCGGCTCGGACCTGAAGGGCTTCTCCCCGGAGTGGGTCCTGAGGTGGGTCTTGAGGGTGCTGGGCCGAGCGTAGGTTTTCCCGCAGATGCGGCAGAGGTTAGGTCGCCCGTTGTCGTCGGGGGTGACGTTGGCCCCCACCCCCCCGATGCAGAGCGCATGCTCGCCGGCTTGGAGCCGGGGGTGGGGGTGGGGGTGCGGATGTCCGTGGGGGTGCGCCCCGATGAGTCCATTGGCCGGGGGTTGGTTCACCCTCGCCGCAGGCTCCACGGGGTTGTACTGGGGGGCAGGGCTCAGCAGGGGCTCGACTCCCCACGCCGACGAATAGCTCTGCTCGTACCTGCGGAAGGAACGTCCTTTAGGGGAGAACCAAAATGGCGGCGACGCGCCCCACTTTGCCGCCGGATTTAGGTTACCCGGATACCGATATGTCGTACGACCCCCGCGAGGGGTTCTATCGATGAACGTTCGGGTTTCGGTTAAGGGGATGCGAAAGTGGCATCCGAAATCTCAATCGTTCGTAAAACTTTTCTACGGACTGGGTGTCTCAAATCGTTTCATACTTTAAAACGTGAATATGGAGACCCTAGGGTGGGTCCTGAAACTCGCGAAATTTCATTTCTTATAAATTATTTTTAAAATACCTATAAGGAAATTTGGAAAAAATTGAAATTTCATGGGTTCCAGGACCTTCCTTTTAGGCTCTCTATTCACGTTGTAAAGTTTCAAACTATTCGGTAAATTGGGTTGGGAGAAAAGTCTTATAAACAAAGCAAATGTCACCTCGCGACTTCCCCATGCCATTGTAGTACCATAAATGACGAAAAATTCGTTGAAATCCCCGAAATTCGACACTTCTAACGTGAACGTTTCTTTTTACGTAAGAAAATATCCCTTACCCGTGGTGCATGTTCATGTTCATGGTCATGTTCATGGAGACGTTGACGGACATGACGGGGCCAGGAGTGTAGTGCGAGGGCAGCACCGGAGCCCCCAGGTTCTGTGCATAGTCCTGAGGGTAATGGTGAGAGGGCGCTCCAGAACCGTAATATCCTCCCGTGGGACTCCCAGGATGCACTACTGCGTGTTTCAGGGACAACAGGACATCCGCCACCTCCTCGCCGTTTGCGTTGCTCGTCCTCGGCACGCACTCGCCCCTGGTGCATCCCCAGCTGTAAGGACGCTTGACGAAATTACGAGAGCAAGTCGTGGACAACTTTCAAATTGAATCGATCTAGGAACTTTCTATTTTTATTTTAACTTTCCCATCTCGTTTTATCATGTTTAAGGTGAAATAAAACCCCTCTCGAATCAGCTGATTCCTATAAGAATTTTTTTAAGGCCCTTGGACCGAACTTTGACACATGACTCGTGAGCACCTAAGAATTATCCTGACACTTTAAAAATTTGCATTTTCGAAATGAAATCTTTGACACTTCAATTTTTTCTTTTTTTGACAAAATCAATTTTCACGAACTTTTTTTTTGCGTGCACAGAGCTACTATCAATATTCGTTTCTATATAGGATTAATAATCGAGGAAAAATAATAAAAATAAAAATAAAATGTTCAAAGAAAATGTCGTCAGTGCAATGCAGTGCAAATATATCACACTTTCATATCACCTTAACAATCGAGGGAAAATAATAAGAATAAAAATAAAATGTTCAAAGAATAAATTCGTCAGTGAAAATATATCACACTTTCATATCACCTTAACAGTCGAGGGAAAATAATGAAAATAAAAATAAAATGTTGAAAGAAAAAAGTCGTCAGTGCAATGCCTACTTGTAGGTGCCCGAGCAGGGGCTGAAGAGGCCAGGGGGCAGGGGATCGAGGTCCAGGGGCGGCAGGGGGAAGCCGGCCATGTCGTCCACCCAGAAGCTGGCCCCGAACTCGCCGACCACCTGACTTTGGGCCGAATTTTGGATCTGCTGGGCCTGCTCGGCGCCGAGGTCCTCCGGCGAGCTCTGCAGGTCCTGCAGGCGCAGGGTGCCCTGCAAGGACCCTAGTCCCACCTCATTCTGCCCGTCCGCCAACGTGTCCTCGCTCGAGAGCACTCCCAGCGCACCTGAGCACAGGCCCGAGGGGATCGTCGCCTCGATGCTACCTACGGACCCTTGATAAGCTTATCGGGTCAATCGCTGCCCTGGAGATCCGCTCCGAGGTCGGAATGAAATTTCGGGAAGCTCACATTTATCATATCGAATTATTATTATTATTTTTTTCTAATCAATTTTGCGTCTCAGCGCCGATATGCCTTGATACGTATTTTTTTGTTTCTAATGAATTTCATGTTTCAGGACTGATATATCTTGATATGAATTTTTTGATTTCAATGAACTTTGTTTCAAGACCGATATACCTTGAAAAGCATTTTTTTTTTCTAATGAATTTCATGTTTTAGGGCCGATATACCTTGATAAGTATTTTTTTTTCTATTTTTTTCTAATGAGCTTCTCGTTTCAGGGGTAGGTATTTTCAAGTTTCTAATGAATTTCATGGTGCAGGGCGGAAGGGGAGAGGAGTCTCACCTGTGCCGAGGATGTAGGGTGTCTCGGTGGTGTTGGCCGAGTGATGGCTCTGCAGGAACTCCATCTCTGCAGAATTTCCGCCGGCGGCTTTCCTTTGGAAACGTACCCCTCCCGGCCGCGCGCACCTCTCCGCCACCTGCGAGCTTCCTCCCTACTCTATGGCCTACACCCTCTATGGAGATGCGGATCCGCGGTCCAGCCCCTTCGCTCCGTCGCCCTGGCAACCAAACAACCGCCATGAATCCCCCTAGGTGCGCCAATTTCCCCGAGGAAACGCCAAAACCCTCCCCTCTGGAAACCCGGCTGCCCCGGTAAGGGGTGCAATTGCGCTTTTGCGAAATCGACCATTTTACTAAATGATGGCACTTTATATTTGTTTTTTACTATTTATTATTTATAAGGGAACATTTTTCGTTTATGTATAATGTACGAGGTATTGTTTCCTATTTATTGTTCAAAGGGAAATGGTCTCACTGGTTGCGCTTTTCCAAAATCGACCATTTTACTAAATGACACGGCGCTTCATAATTATTTATATGAAAAGATAAACAGAAATTTTGGAGGAATCTTTCAAAGCCATAAGATCAAAATTCTGTTATCAAGATTTATCCCGCGAACTTGTGGAGCTACCTAGTAATTAATAAGATCGGTATATCAGATTTTCACGTTTCAGGCTACCAATAATAAAATGAAAATTCAATGCCGAGTCTTAAAATAGGTTTTAATATTTCAAGAATGTCGGTCAACATACAGGATCAGGGTATTTAGATTTCTGACGAGATCGGGCAAAGGCAAAAGGTAAAAAGGGTTAAAAAAGAAAAAAAGCTCGCCAGAGGCTGAAGTCGCGGGGCACGAACCTTTTCAGCTCGAGAGCCGATAACGAGATAAACTTTAAGTCGACTCTAAGTGCCGGTACATCCAATTTGAGTATAAGACCCGCCTCGTGCAATTTCCGATTTCTCGCGTCAATTTGTCGCAGATCGCTCGCGACTTCGAAAAATTTCAGGCGATAGCATGTAATTGATGTGTTAATATATACTAACGTCCCCAATTATTACATTTTGACAAATGAACTAACAGTGCTCTACTAAATTTTTTTGCAAATCGTCCGGAAATGAGAATATCCACGGAAGAAAAAATGGCAGCACGCAATTTTTCCATATTGTTTATGAAATATTAACGATTGATACTGGTGGTCTAAATAATTCCTTTCATATTACCATGAAAATTTGAATTTTACCCTCTCTTGACTGATGGTGGCACATTTGAGTACCTTTTATTTATGTCTTTGATACATATGAGAGATGTAAATTCCAATTTCATATTACATAGATCTTCCTCGATATATGATATGTTCTCCAAATAATTCTCCTTAAATGGTAATAACTAAATTATAATTCCATAATAATTAAAAAACTGTCTTCAATATATTACATTATCCTCGATACGTTATATATGCTCCAAATAATTCTCTTAATAACAAAATTCCAATTACATAGTGATAAAGAAGAATTATTTTCCGGATTTTTCTCGGAAGGGGATTCCCTCTTGGAGTCGATCTCGCGGTTCAGGGGATCCCCGGGGCCGTGAAATCCCCTGCGTATAAACGCGATGAAAATCGGCGAAGGGGCGAGACGAACTCTCTCGGGGGTTCGTGAATGGCCGGAAGAATCGCACGAGCGTGTCAGCTTGGGGAAAGAGAGAGAGAGAGTACCTTTGCCGAGAAGACCTGCCGGTCTTCTTCCCTCCAAGGGCTTCCGGAAACCTGTGAGATATTTCCATTCACGGGTTCTAAAACCGCGTGCATCTTCCCACGTGACGTCGATCTTACGCGCGGCTTTCCTGGTGAAACGATTCGCGCCTGGTGAAAGATCTCACCCCAGGCGACGCGTGAATGATCTCACCCCAGGCACCACGTGGCGGCCATTTTGTTCCCGCTTACTTCTCACACTTTCTGCCAAATATTTGCAATATATGCTATTTCTGGACTGATTGTGAATGAAAATTGTATAAATAAAGAATGAATTATCTTTAAGATATTCCCGTTGATTAGATTTAACTCCGTCTCTAGTTTTAGGAAGTTTTATCCTATTCTTGGAATTATAATTGCAAGATTATGCGTTTAACTGATTATTCTTTTCAGCACTTTTACGCTTCGTACAGTAAGATAGACTTTTTCATGAATGATATCTAGAAATCTTTTAACAGACGCATCTGATAATATAAATGAAACTTTTTTTTCTGAGTATTTAAGGAATTAAAAATGGACGCCACTTACGGATGTTGCAGATTTCGGGCCAGGAAGAAATTATTCAGTTCCCGCTCGCGGGGAAATTTCTCTTCTTTCTTTCCCTCATCCTGGCTGGGAAATCTTCAAGACTAACAGGACACTTTGCGTCGAATCTTGAAGGTTTTCGAAGACATAATGACCGATTCGTCACATCTCGTCCTTGCAACAATCAAGGCTTCATCTCGCCATGAAATTAATAACTGTGATAGTAATTTTATTCACTATGAATTATTTTTTTTATCTAGTCGATTTATTCAAAGATGATTTACGAATCACCAGTCATTGACGTTGAATTCGTTCTACTTAAAATTGTTTACACAATAAATGTCATTTGTTGTAATTGCACTATTATGCAACTGGTATGTTTTATATCAACGTGATTTATATTTTTACCCTTAAGAGATTCTCTGAATTGCGAAAAACTCCGAAAATCCAGCGAAAGGTTCTGGGAAGTTTAAGAGGCAAAGTTATAATATATCAAATTGATATGATAATTCCAGTTGTAGAAACATTATGCTTCGAAGGGGGAAAAAAAACTACCCTGAAGAGTCCACATTTCGTCAAACTCTTCAACACTCAATGGCATTTTCACATGGAAAATGGAGCACTTGGTGGGTTTTTTATCGGCACTCGAAGAAAAATTCGGCACTGTCTTCAAGGTTATCCTCAGCGCCTTATTTAATATTTAAATAATTTTGGCAACATTTACATTTATACACGAGAAGGATTTCGAAGAGAATTCTCTTCAGGGTTGGTTTTTAATTTCCGTCATTTTTCTGTCTTCGCGTTTGTGATTGATGCAGAAATTGTTTTTTTTTGTCCGGTGGTTGAAGAGGAACTTAATTGTCTCTGTTTCTTCAATTTTTAACGTGCCTAAATCTGTTATCATACGTTTATTTTCTCCTAAATCTGATATTATACGTTAAATTTCTCCACCCCTGGTGACAATATTCTCTTCCGTCCAAGGTACTCGACTCTTCCCTCGTCAAGGTCCTCTTCGGCATCCTCTTCACCTATCAATTATCATCAACAGTGACTTCGTGGTCCACTTCAACGTCAATCGTTTTACCTCACCAGGCGAAAAACATAATGTCTCCCTTTTCAAGGTCCCTTTTCGGCATCCTCTTTACCTTTCGATTATCATCAACAGTGACTTCGTGGATCCACTTCAACGTCAATCGTTTTACCTCACCAGGCGAAAAACATAATGTCTCCCTTTTCAAGGTCCCTTTTCGGCATCCTCTTCACCTTTCGATCATTATCAACAGCAACTTTCTCCACCTTCACTTAAATTATTATACCTCACCACCAGACGAGGACCTCGACGTCTCCCTCTTCAAGGTCTCTCTTCAGCATCCAGGCCTTCTCCTGGGGCACTGGGCACTCCGGCGTGCCACTGCCGGTGCCTCTGTCAACGTGTCTTGGCTAACTAGGCACCTACCACCTACCACCCACTCTCACCCCTTACTAACAACCTACCACCACCGGGTACCCGCCACCGAGGTGTCCCTTCTCTTCCGAGGTGTACGCGTACACACCCGCATACACCCACGAGGCCGTGCGCGTGTGTGTCTAGCCAGCGCTCGACTCGATGGACTCGATGTCCACACGAACGCGACCCTTTGCTTGTGTCCAACACCCCCACACACACATATACGACCCGCATGTACGTATGGATAACCCACGGGTGTATCCTCGAGTGTCATCCAGCCGGCGTTCGACTGGATGGACGCAATACCCACACGGACGCGATTCTTCGCTTGTGTCCGACACCCACACCCCTATGCGACCCGCATGTGTCGTCCAGTCGGCGATCGTGTCGATGGACGCAATACCCACACGGATACGATTCTCCGCTTGTATCCGACACTCACACCCCTATGCGACCCGCATGTGTCGTCCAGTCGGCGATCGCGTCGATGGACGCAATACCCACACGGATACGGTTCTCCGCTTGTATCCGACACCCACACCCCTATGCGACCCGCATGTGTCGTCCAGTCGGCGATCGTGTCGATGGACGCAATACCCACACGGATACCACCCACACCCCCATGCGACGGATGCATCCCTCCTATGTGTGGGTGTAACGCATGTGCCAACCGCAGAATTGTGACTTACCGTTGTTACGCGTGATCGGATGTCTCGCACGTTTGCAAGGGGTTGAGAGATACTTTTCTTCTCTTTTCCCATATTTATGAAAATGATTTGCAATGAGAAACTGCATTTTCAGGACATCATGTGTATGAAAGTGTTGAGAAGATAATGGGACGAGGAAAGTAGGTTAAGGGGTGACTTTCTTTCTTTCATATTTCAAATCCTGGAAGTTCCTTTTCTAAAACGAGATGACATTAAAATAAATGCGGAATGACATTAAAAAGTTGAAAAAAATGAATTCCCAAGGAACCAGGTCGCAGTTCCACGTGGTCGCGTTTCTGGAAAAGGGCACTGTTAAGGATACAAAATTCGGGAAAGTGGGGGGAAAAAAAAAAAAGAAAGAAATGCGTCTTGGAAATTATGAAAAATTGCGAGGTTCCCACGTCCCGTTCCCATGTGGTGCATTACTCGGGCACACGTTAATCGGTGTCGGGGAGACATGGACGAGCCTCTCCTGGGGCATCCTTGTGTCCGCACAAGAGAGGTACACGCGTTGACCGCATCGTTGACACGAGATACTAATCGTTCATTCAGCGATCGGCGATCGGGGCCTACTCACCGCTCGATCTTGGGGGATATTATATTTAACTGGAGATACCATTACCAGGCCGTCCCGG